CACACACACACACACACACACACACACACACACACACACACACACGCACACACACACACACACACACACACACACACACACACACACACGCACACACACACCACAATATTGCCGCATGGTTATTAGGAAGACGCTCGTCTTCCGTTATGCATTTACCGTGAAGAGATGCAACTGTTTTCACACCCGGGTGTACGCGGATAGACGCGCCACAAATCATCATCTCTTCACGGGTCAATGCACGCTTCGCATGTCAGCTTTACCCTTACGCCTTACATCTACTGCATGCGTGTCTATGTATGCGTGCGTGCGTGCGTGCGTGCATGGTGACTGTGCGTGCATGCTCGGCAAACCGATTGCCCGCGCGCGTGCGCGTGCATTTTCTTACTTCGTCCAACGCGAATTGCACATTTACCCTTGTCATACAATGATATATGCTGACGTGAGTGCCTAACACTGTTCTTCTCTTCTGCCTTTGCATTCCACAGCCCCATGGGGCGTCAGTCTCAAAAAAGGTTCGTAAAGAGATGAAACTTACGTTTACTGAATTACTATTCAATGTAAGCGGCGCATACTAAACTGCCTTCGGACAGCCCCTTCCCATCCCAGCAACGTCCGATTTGCTAACGAAATATATATGCCGAATAAAGTGTCATCTACCAACGATTTCTCCAACGCGCGCGATACGAAAAGATGGCGGCGCAGGAAAACAAGAGGACATGTCGGACACGCTTCACGCACGGTGCCCGTACGCACTCACGAATCGCATATACATATATATATATATATATATATATATATATATATTTATATATATATATATATATTTATATATATATATATATTTTTTATATATATATATATATATATATACTATATATATATATTATATATATATATATATATATATATATTTATTTATATATATATACATATTTTGGATCCAAAATCGCATCACCGGCGCGTATATTGACTTTGACATTCTCTAACTTTAGAAGCCAGTATTCCCCATGTGTCCGTCCTGTTGTTTTTCGTGTGAAGCGTCAATGAGAACGATGCAGCCACCCCGCCTAAACACACCAACGCAGGGAATTTGATTTTCATCGCTATATGAAAATTTTAATTTCGTTCGCGACTTATCAGTGTATGTTGTGGTAGGATAGGGTGACGGTAATGCCCCATGGTTATTTGGTTAAGCCTCGAACAATGGACGCTGTCAGATGCATAGTCAGTTCCATCACGGCATAATTCCATTTATATTATAACTCTCACAAGCGCACTCGCTCTCTCGTGTTCTTTCTTTATTGTGATATCTATATAATATGAGGTTCCGCCTTTGTTTTTTTCTCTCCCCCTCTCATACTATCTTATCATATTTATCCCCTCTGGCTCTCTATTTCTCTTATTTGCCTACTACTTACTACTAATAATGAATGATATAATAATGAATAATATAACTAACGATAACGATGATATTAAGAAATAGCATTTAAAGATATAAATAAAATAATAATAATAATAATTTTCGCTTTCTAACATATTCATGCACTAAGTAAACTAATTTTGTCTGAACCTCATGTCGTGACTCTAGCCCTGCGAGAGCCATTATTCTGGCTTCTTAGATCAGAGGTTTACCAAAATGAGCGGAGTGGCTAAATCCTCATGGGAATACATCGGACACATGGGTGTTTAAAAGTAATAGCATGAAATCTACAACCAGCAGCAGCGAGGCAGGCATGTTGTGTATACCGCGTCGTGGGCGCGTCATTACACACAGCACAGCGACAGCCACACTAGACACACACACACGACACACACCAACACACACACACACACAACAAGCACTACACACAACGTGTTTAACGTCCAGGCATCAGTCTTATAAATAATATGTGTGGAATATAATAATATAATATGCATTACCGCCTTCCCGCCTGCAAGTGGCTGGTCATTTTTACTTCAAACGTCGTCGGTATTCATAAAGTGATGTGTTTTCGGACGCTTCAACACTCTGGTTCTTAACTCGCCAAGAAGCGATTACAATAAAGAGCAAATCTTGACGTCAACACCGCTTATTGTTATATAAAAACTGATCAATAGTCGTCACAGTTGGGCAATAAGAGTGCGTAATAGCGTTATTACGCAACAGTGTTAGTGTAAGAGGCGTGAGCAAGGAACGTGTAGTAGGTATCCGCGGTGTGGAACAATACTGCCATCGTCAGAGCTGCATCGCTCGCTCATCACCGCCGGCGCTGCTGTGGCGTTAGCAAAAATCGACAATGTGATAGGCGGCAAGTCTAGGCGTACGGCGAATGCCTTATGCCATGTTGGCAGAGACACATGATATATATATAGTTATTATATATCATATATATATATATATATATTATACGCACACACGCACGCAGCGCGCAGCACGCACCGCACACGCACAGCGCAGCAGGTGCGCCGACGCCGGACGTCACAGCACACCCCACACACGCCACACGCACACGCCACGCACCACGCACGAGCTCGTGGAGAGCCACACGCACAGCGCACACACACACACAGCACCAGCCTAGCAGCACATATATATTTATATATATATATATTATATATATATATATATAT